TTTAGTTTTGGGGCATTGGGTTTTACTCAGCACAAAATGGTTGACTAGAGGCATAGAAACTAGTTTGGAATCGGCCATTCCAAACTTTGTTACCGGTTTCTTAAGGTATGAGCGTTGACTGATTTTTAGCTCACATTTTTTTGTATCTTTGGTTATAGCCATTCCTAGGATTTTTTTAGCATTTCCTAAGTCTTTCATGTCAAATTCAGATTTGAGTTTATTCTTTAGTTCATGTATTCTAGACTTAGACTTACTAACTAGCAACATATCATCCACATATAGTAATAGATATATAGGCATCTTCTCATTTAAGGCAAAATAAAAGTAGCTATCATATCTACTTCTAGTAAACCTTATGCTCAAAATGAAAGTGTCAAACCTCTTGTACCACTGCCTAAGGGACTGTTTCAGCCCATGTAAGGATTTATGCAAAAGGCAAACATGGTTAGGCACCCTATAATCTACAAAACCAATTGGCTAGCACATATAAATTTCTTCTTCTAGGTCACCATGTAAGAAAGCAGTTGTCACATCCAATTGTTCTAGTTCTAGATTGTGGTGGGCAACAATAGAAAGCATTAGTCTAACGGTCTTATATTTTACTATAGGGAAAAGACTTCATTGAAGTATATTCATTTTCTTTGGGTATACCCCTTGGCAACTAACCTAGCTTTGTACCTAGGGGGATTAGTAGCTAAAATGTCATCTTGTACGTTAAACAATCACTTACAACTGGATCATTTTCTGGTCCTTTGGTTTGGGAACCAAGGACTAGGTCCTGTTTACCTCTAATGACCTCATTTCCTCTTCCATTGTTGCCTTCCACTCGTCCTTCTCCTTAGACCTCGTAGCTTCTTCATATGAGTCTGGTTATGATCTCTACATCTATGTACTTGCAAGCAAAGCAGTGTAAATTAGTTCTGCATATGAAAATCTAGCAGAAAGCCTTACCTCTCTTCTGGTTATGTCCCTTACAAGTTGGTAGTGCTGCAGTTCATCATGTTGGGGTTATGGTGTGTCTTCTACAGCTTCTTCATCTTCTTATTTAGGACCATTTGGTCGTGGTTCAGCTTCTGGAGGCTGTTGAGCTTTTGGTTGAGGTGGATCAGCCTGTTGTGCCATACGCTCCACCTCAATTTGTGTAATTTCAATGGAGTTAATGGGATTTTCAGAGATGTTGGGGCTGTCTACATCATGGTTAGTAGCTTTGCAAGGGAAAACCTTTTCATTAAATACAACATCCCTACTTACAATGATTTTAACCCTTGGTGATTCTCTATCTTATAGTCTATAGCCTTTGGTCCCTTCTTGGTACCCTAGAAATACACATTTAGTAGACCTAGGTTCTTGTTTCCCTCCTACTGTGTGTGCATCCATAGGTGGCTAAGATCAGGCTTCCTAACAGACCATATCTCTATGGGAGTAGATGGACTTCTATTTATTAAGTAGGTTGTCGTAGCCAAGGCAACCACCCCCCCCCCCCCCCTCCCCGAAAGTGTTTGGTAGTCCTGAGGTGAATAGCATGCATCTTACCTTTTCCAATAGGGTCCTATTCATCCTCTCAGCAATCATATTTTGTTGATGAGTTTTTCTTATTGTTTTGTGCCTTAGGATACCTTGCTAACTACAAAATTTGTCAAATTCAGCATTGCAAACTCTAGCCCATTGTCAGTCTTTCAGGCTTTTACTCTCTTGTTTAATTGGTTTTCTACAAGTAGTTTCCATTCTCTAAACCTAGATAGGGCTTGGTCCTTAGTTTTTGGAAGATAGAGCCACACTTTCCTACTATAATCATCTACAATAGATAGGAAATAGTTGTTGCCACAATGAGACCTGATCTTCTTAGGTCCCCACAGGTCAGAATAAAGATATTCTAGGCAGGTAATGGCTAAGTGAGTTCCCTTTGAGAAACTCACCCTATGTTGCTTACCTAAGACATAATTTTCACAGAATTCTAAGGTGGAAACAAAATCCTTACCAAACATTCCCTAGTTACTAAGAATGCTCATCCCTTTCTGACTCAGATGACCCATTCTGAGGTGCCAGTTTTTAGTCACAGATGGGTTAGTAGAGAATAAAGCAGTGTTAAAAAATTCAGAGCAGAAATCACCACATAAGATATAATGACCATTCCTTTTTTCTCCTTTCAGAAGTAAGTTTTGGTTTCTATACACATTCAGCCTCCCATTCTCAGCTCTGTAGCAACAATCAACTTCATCTAAGGTTCCTAATGAGATAAGATTCATTTTTAGTTTAAGGATAAACCTAACCTTAGTCAATTTTACTAGTTTCCCCCAACTAAGCCTTAGAGTTATATTGCCTATGCCTTTCACCTTACAAGCATCGTTGTTCCCCATAAAAAACAGTTTCATTTTCACAGGTTTCAAACTCCTGAAACCAGCCTCTATTTGGGCTTATGTGGAAGAAGCACCCTAAGTCTAATATCCACTCCTTAGCACAGTCTGATGTGGACACTGTAAGGATCTCAGGTTCTTCTATTAGGTTTTTTATGGAGGCTAGGTTACTCTCTATGTTGCCCTGTTTTTGTTTCTTAATCTATTCAAAACAGTTCTTTTTTAGTTGACCAAGTTTATTACGAAAAAAGCATTTTCTAGTTTCTTCCCTTTGTTTATTATTCCTTTTACCCCCTTTCTTGTTTCTAGACCCCTGATTGTAGTGATTTCCCTTTCCAAATTGGCTAGGTTTAGGGTTACCCCCCACAAACAGGTTGCTACCATTTCTTTTTTAGACCTTTAATTTTAACTCTCTAGCTTTAAGTCTTGCTACTATTAAGTCCAAGATAGGTACAGTGCCAGAGTACTATAGTGCATTCTTGATTACTTGGTAATCATTAGTCAATGAGTTCAATAATATCATAGCAAGGCTGGTCTCTCATAATTCTTGATCTGTGCCTTTCAGAATAAAGTCATTTTTAGAAATTCATCTAAGTTGTCCTCTATAGTTTTAGAGCTATCCATCTTATATGAAAAGAAAACACTTTTAAGGAATGCTAAATTTAGTGCAGATTGCAGAGCATACAAGGATTCGAGCTTACCCCACAATGCAAGAGGAGTTTCGATTCCGTCTACCTTCCTTAGTACGTTGTTTGAGAGATTCATCACGATCATGTTATATGCCTCATTGTCAATCTCCTTATTCTTTTTTAATTTCTCTTTAGACCACTTCTTGGGATCCTTTTCCAGTGCAAGACCAACCTTGCTTTGAGAGAGAAGTGCCTTCATCTTCTTCTTCCAACTACCGAAGTCGATCTTCCCATAATATTGGGTGATCTCTATTCGGGTTGTAGTATTTGTCATGGTGAGATGTTTTTAGGTTTGATTGAATGGATGTACAGACCTAAGAACAAAGAACTGTTCTTGGCTTGCCAAGATTTGATAAACCCTAGATTTTTCCCTAATTTGTCTAATTGACAATGATTCACTCAGATTTTTTTTATCTACGGACTCCTAATTAGAACGAGGACCACCAAAATTGAGAAAGTCGCAAATTTTTAACAACCCTAAAACCTTAGAAATCTTCCAGATCTAGTTTGAGACTCCGATAACCCAAATCTAGTCACCAATCGCTCTGATACCACTGTTATACTACAATCCAGAATCAAACAACTCACAAACACACACAAATCAATGAATTTCACACAAGATCACCAAGATTTACCGTGGTTCATTTGCTCAAGGTTTGAGCAAGCTATGTTCACATTGAGCTTCGGAAATGGGAGAGCTCACTACACTAATGTTAAGAATGTATCAACGATTACAACTCTTACAAGAACTCACACAAGAATCTTTCTCTTCAACCTGAAACTTCCTGTAACTTGAACCCTAGAAAGACTCAAACTCGGAATCCCTAGACTAAGAGCAATTACACCTTTATCGAATGACTAATGCCTAATCACTAAAGATCCTCACAAGTTACAACCAAATTTCTATACACAATCGCAAACCCTAGCAGAGAACAACTGATACAATAAGAGAAAAGCTTCGAAAGAGGAATTGTGTGAATCTGATTTTTGTCTCCTTTTATACCGTTGACTTATAGGTAGGATTTCAGCCATTGGTTGGATCAACGGTTAGGGTCCAAGTCAGCTAAACTCCAAAATGATAGCGCTCCACTAACTCTCCAATGTAGTGCCGTTTCAAGCCTTCACTTCAACACCATTTGATTTAAACTATCCACCGTGATGATGTTTATTTCAACAGTGATGATCTGCAGTGCACCACTTTATGTCTCTGCTAGTGGTGTTTGTTAATAGATTTTTTTTGTTTTTGTTTTTCTCTATTATGTGGGAAAAAAAAAATAGAAAAGATGAAATGGTCTTAATTTTATGAGTATGATGATGATGATGATGACATGATGTCTTAAAGATTGGTGGAAGATTGGTGTTTGGTTTGTAGATGTGTGTGATTTGCTTGATTAATGGAGGCTTTTTGAAGAATTTGAAAGATGGGAGAGACGGTGATAGATGGTTAATTGAGTCTATTGACTTGAGATATAATAATAAATAAATTTTTAATTCAAACAATTAAAGGTAGCTTTGTCTTTACATTGAATATTATTGTTTTTAACTGAAAACTGTTAAAGGAATCTAATGTTTGGGTGGTAATAGTCTTTTAAAAGTTTGAGGGTGGGATAGTGTCATTACACCATTGTTCGGGTGGGAAAAGAAAAAAAAAAGAATTTTATTTGTAGTTATCTTGATACGGCTTCACTCAATAACATCAATGCTAAAAATTCACAAAGAATTATAGCTACAAGAAAATAAATTATTTATTATATCTTTAGTAAAATTAATTCAATTTTCTCTTCTTGTCAGCTCTAAGGTTTTGACAAGATGTTTTGTACACTGACCCATTTAATTTTATCTAACAATTCATTTATTAATATTGGCTACACAATAAAAACATTTAATGTTATTATTCATTTTCTCGGCATCAATTCTTTTAGATTGCATCAATCCAGTAAGAGATAAAGGTTGAGATATGACAGAGGTTGCGGTGGAGTTTGCTATAGAAATCTTGAGTTCCCTTATTGTCCAAGAAGTCAAGTTGCTGGGAAACGCAAGGCCGAAGCTGAAGAAGAAGGAAGAAATAATGAAGGTGTCAAAACATGGGTAAAACAACTCAGGGAAGAAGCCTATCATATTGAAGATGTCCTAGATGAGTACATTTTGAAGAAGGCACAACTTTCTCATGGCAGTGGCTTTCTTGGTGTTCTTCGTAAAATAAGTCATTTCGTAAAGAAATTGAAATTGCACCACGAAGTTGCAACTGCTATCCAAGATATCAAATCGTCGCTTGATGATATCAAATGAAGAAGACAAAACTTCAACTTCAGAGATGAAGGATCAAGTAGTGGTACAGGAGGTGTTATACCACATGACTCTCGAGTTGGCTCCATTTTCATTGAAGAATTAAAGATTGTGGGCATTGAATCTTCTAAACATAAATTGATTGATTTATTGGTGAATGGAAAATCAAATCTCTCAGTGATTGCGATGGTGGGTGAAGGAGGATTAGGCAAGACCACTCTTGCTGGGAAAATTTATAATAATGATGTTGTGAAGAAGCATTTTGACTGTCGGACTTGGATCACAATTGGGAAAGAATACGTGAAGAAAGATCTATTAAAGACAATTAAACAAGAAGTTCACCATCAAACAGGGTACCCTTCAGTAGAGATAGAGGATACGGAAGAGACGAATTTGATGACTGCATTGAGAACGCTCTTGAAAGACAAGTGTTACATGGTTGTGTTTGATGACGTCTGGAAAGATGATTTCTGGGAAGATGTTAATTATGCTTTGCTTGATAATAAAAAAGGCAGTAGGGTAATGCTGACAACAAGATACATGACTATTGCTCATTCAGTTCCTTTTGTGAATGTCCATGAGCTTGAACATTTGCCTTCAAATAAGGCATGGGAACTATTTTGTAGAAAAGCGTTTGGCTTCAACATGTCTTGTCCAACGGAGCTGGAGAAATTGTCTCATGAAATCCTTGCAAAGTGTGGAGGTTTACCATTGGCAATTGTGGCTGTAGGTGGTATTTTGTCAAATAAGAACAAGGTTGTCTCTGAATGGCAAAAGTTACTTGGTGGTTTAGGCTCAAAGTTAGGGAGCGATCCCCATCTGAGAAGTTGCAACAGAGTTTTATCTGAAGGTTATTATGATCTCCCTCACCATTTGAAGTCATGCCTCTCGTACTTTGCCTTGTTTCCACAAGGCTTTGAAATTAAATTTGGGAAACTAATACGCCTATGGATAGTTGAGGGTTTTGTCCAGTATAGCAAACACTACTCGCTTGAACAAGTTGCAGAAGATTACTTGACAGAGCTAATTGACAGAAGTTTGGTTCAAGTTTCAAGGAGAAAGGTTTCGGGACGAGCTAGAACATGTAAAGTCCATGATCTAATGCATGAGATCCTTCTCAACAAGACTAAAGGATTGGGTTTCTATCGAGACCTAAGTGGAGAAAACTTGAGTCATAAAACTCGTCGTATTTCAGTAAATAGAGGTACTGATGTTGCTCTAGAAAGAATCAAGGATTCAAAGATTCATTCTATTTGTCTTTTCAATGTAGACAAACTTCCTCGGTCTTTCATGAGTACAGTTTTTGCCAGTTTCAAGTTTCTGAAAATACTTGATTTTGAAGATTGTCCTGTGGAACACCTTCCTGATGGAGTGGGAAAGCTCTTTCATTTGCACTACTTAAGTTTGAGGAGAACAAACATAAAAGAACTTCCCAAGTCTATAGGCATGCTTATAAACTTAGAAACTCTAGATTTGAAGTTCTCTTTTGTGGCTGAGCTGCCGGTTGAGATTAAGAATCTTAAAAAATTGCGTTGTCTAATTGTATATCATAGGTACGGATTCATTACCAAAATACATAAAGGTCTTGGGGTTTTAACAAACCTCAATAGCCTACAAGTTGTGGAAGCAAATTCTAAAGTTCTTGAAGAGCTTAAGCAGCTAAGGCTATTGAGGAGGTTGGACATTCAACTTGAAAATAGATTTTTGAAGAATCTGTTCCTTATTGTCAAAACTATGGAAAATCTTGAACGTTTGGCCATAACATCTAAATTTGAAGAAGAGATTCTTAATATATCATGTGTGGCCTCTCCTCCAGAATGTCTTCGAAGTTTGTTTTTAAAAGGGAATATTAAGAAGCTACCGTTCTGGATTTTTGAACTTAAAAAACTAATTAACATAGAATTGTTTTATACGGGAACAACTGATGATGATCCCATAAGTGCCCTTCAAGGCTTACCTAATTTATTGAGGCTCATTATCAATATGAGGTATTGTGATGAGAAATTGCATTTGAAAGAAGGTTGGTTTCCGAAGCTTGAAGCATTGTATCTTGAGAACTTTGGAGGATTAAAATGGATGATGATAGACAAAGGTTTCAATGCCTAATCTAAAAGAATTTAGGATTGGACCATGCCCACTTTTGAAGGAGGTTCCAATAGGAATTAAGCATCTAACATATCTTAAGAGACTTGTATTTATGATGATGTTGAAAGAGATTTATTGGCTGATGAAAGATGAGAACTGGGAGAAACTCACTAAACACATTCCAGAAGTATCGGTAAGTTATAAAGAGGCATTTGGAAAAGGTTTTTATTACAACACTAGATATTTTTCATCCCTGTCATGTGAAGATTTTGAGCAGCTTGTATTGAAGAGGCCAAGTGATAGGCAGTTTCATCCATGAAACAACAGGTATGATTTCGTAACAAATAAGACTTATTTGAAAAGCGTCTGTTTTATGTTAATTTCATTCAAGCTGTTTATTGATAGTGAGGAATGATTAGGGCGATAGATATGGAGTTATATTAATTTGTTTGGAAATATTTATTGCAGTTTGTAGACTACATAAATCTGGCAATATAAGACATATTTTTCAGCTTGATAAATCCACTTCATTGGCAATATTTCATGCAAGGAAATATAGTTTTTTTTTTTTGGTACATGTATCTAAAGTTATTTATGGTCATTCTCATTAAGGTGAGCATCTTGAAATTTTTAATGTGCAAGACAAAAAATAAGCTTCTAGTAGCAAACTCCATAGACCTTATAAGTAAAAGCCTGGGAATTCTCTAGTTAGGACTGTCCTTACATATGAAAAAACTAATTAGAATAGTGATTTTTTTAATTATAAATGAGGAAGGATATTGCATTAACAAATAGGAGAGAGATAACAAATATAAATTAATTTTATAAATACGCGATTTTTATCTTATTCCCATCTTCATCATTTATTTTGCTTTAATCAAAGGGACATAAACTTGTGTAAAAAAAAAAAAGAAAAAAGAAATAAAAAGGGTTATGGATCCGTCCCCACATATTTTGTTTGTTATGTGCTACTCATTAAGTTTATTTAAAATGTGACTTCTCTTATTCACATATAAGTGCTTAATGATAATGATCAAATACTTCTAAAATTTTATTTCTTAAATATCACATGAATCATGTACTCATTTTATTACTTAAATTTGATTAACCATTATATTTTTTCTTTATGTTACCATGAATATGTGAAGTGTCTGCTATTGTGAGAATACACTGATGAGTCATCTTCCAGAACTATCAACCACGATTATTGGGACATATTTACTATTAAATGATCAAGGTGTAATAATGGTGCAATGTTGTTTGTTATCGGTATGATGATCTGTATGTAATATAGTGTTTGTTATCGATATGATGATCAGGATGTAATTTATACATTGTGTACTATGTAATTGTTCTCCAAGTGTTACCTATGAAATTGATGTGTTTTTATTTAACTGGATTTATATATAATGAATTAATTAAACCATATAGCACAGTATTACAATTACAAATAAAATTTGTGAACTAAAATTTAAATATAATGTTTGTATTTGAAAATAAGAAAAATAATAATTTTAAAAATAATTAGTTGAATTAAAAATAATCACATAAAACAAACAAGCCTTTAAACATACGTTAAAACACTCAAAACAATTAATTAATTTATCCATTGAGAAAAAAAACTTGGCCATCCAACTCAGAACACAATAATTTTTAAAGAGCCAAATCTTCCCCAAAACCAATGGATGTTAATTGATTTTTTTTACTTGATACAATATATTTCCCATAAAGTCTAACATATCCCTAAACAAAAAAAAATAAAAAAAAAATAAAAAAATAAAAAATTTTGAGAAAGAAATATCAAATTAAAAATTAAAATAACACCTTTTAAAAGTATCATATTTAGTTTTCAAAAAATAAACTCATACCTTTATGTTCTTGTCATCAATGAACATCATATAGTATTTGAGGTGTCTAAGATTGGTCCCCATAATTAAATATATGTTACCTATTGGCAGGATAAGGATGCCAGGAGAATGAGATTCACTCCAGACAGGTTTGGAAGGATTTATCTACAGACAATCGCACTACACCTTGGATAGTGATGGCAATGCGCCGGGCCAGGACCGGGTACCCCTTGGCCCAAGCCCAAGCCTGACCTCATGACACAGGCCCAAGCTCGGCCCAAGCCCGCTACGGGTTTGATAGGCAAAGCCTAAACCCAGCTCGATGGGTTTTTTATAACCACAGGCCTGGCCTAAGCCCGCCTTTTTTAATAATGTCAAATTTGAAATTTATTAAATTTTAAATATTAATAAATTTCAAATTTTTTTTTATATTTTTAATTTTAGAAACAGTTTTTAAATATTAATTGAAGCTATTTCCACAAATAATTTAAGCAATAAGTGAGCAATTAAAATTCCATAATATTTGATTATACTAACTTTTGAGCTGTGCATAATATATTATGGTGAAATCCACTTTAGTTTAGGGAATGGGTATGGGTGTGTAGTTTAGTTTAGGAAATGGAATGAAAATTGAGGTTAGGGTTTGGGAAAAATGGATATATATATGTAGGATAATATTGTAATTAAATATATAGTATAAGGGTAAATTAGTAAAATGTACCCGAGGTCGGGCCTTAAAATCAAACCCAGGCCCAAGCCTAATCTCGCCAACCTCGGGTAAAGCTCGACCCTTTCGGGCAAGGCCGGGCCGGATACCCACAAATGTCGGGCCCATTGCCATCTCTAACCTTGGACCGTTTTGATATGGAATGGTACATGCATACCTTGGCGCTCTTTTATTACGTGGCTGGCCATAAAGCATAAATTGCTAACGCATGATAGAATGAAAGGATGGATGTGACCGGAGGAGCTTGTTTGTAAGCTGTGTAATGCCACCGCGGACTCGCATGAACATCTGTTTTTTGAAAGCTCCTATTCCCAAAAGGTGTGGAAATCAGCTCAATCTAAAGGTCATTTTAGGCCCCCTTCAAGAGGCTGGGATGAAATTATAAGTTGGTGCTCCACTAATTTCAAAGGCAAGAAAATTAAGGTTATTGTGTGCAAACTGCTTCTTGGTGATGTAGTGCATTATATTTGGCAAGAGCGCAATTTTCGTCTGTTAAAAAACGAGGGGAAGAGTAGTGATAACCTAGAAATTCAGATTTTTTTGGGAGGCAAGGATCCGTCTTCATTCTTTAAAATTTAAAGATAATATGAGAGTCCGTAAAGTCATGGTTGATTGGTGTTGATGCTGGATTTTGACACAAACTATTTGCATGTGCAAAGTGCTAAGCGGAGTTAGAAATTACACGTGAACTGGGAATGGAAATAAATAAATAAAAGAAGACGATTTTTAAAATGGTTTGGATGCTCAAAGCGAATCCTACATCCACTATCTTTTTTATAGAAGAAAGGTTACAATCAGGTCGCAAGAAGCAATCAGAAAAGAAATACAGAGAGGGAGAAAGAGTGTTTATATTATCCAAAGCTGAATCCGAATGAAGAGAGGAGAGTTCTCTATTTATAGTAACAGGTTCCTGATCTGTCAATGGGCAGGTACCATACAGTTCCTACCTTGCTTCCTATTGGCTGGCTGTGCGCTAGGTATCCTTAAATTGCGCAGGGATCGGGTAAGCAGATGACTCCCAACAATTCACTAGCCATACCCTTACCTGCCAAGTTGATTATAGCCTTACTCCTTCTGTCCTTGGACGATGTGGTAGCACGTGGATGACACAATGCTTTCCTGAACTCTGATTAACCTTTGTTGACGTGAATTTACGTCAACCTTGATTTTTTAGGCATAATAGAAGCCCCCGGTTCTTAAGGTTCAAGGCTTGAACTTTGAGAACTTCATGATTATGCCATGATTTGACTCGTTCTGAGGATCACTCACTCAAACTGTTGATGGAAACCGACCAAGGTAACGCAAAGCACACGACTTAACTTGACCAACGAACTGAATGGGGGTCGTGATGCAAAGGTTCGTGAGTTCCACAAGTGACCTGGTGTGATCATCCCCTAAAGGTTCAACGACCTGGGATCAGATCCTGCTTAGTGCTATACCAACGTGCTTGGAACTTTGTCCATCGTTTGTGACCTGAAAACACTTAAGAGTATTTTTGCCGAAAATCAGAAGTTGCTTTGCTTCGAGCCTAGTACACAGAGAAAAGTGTTTCACTCGAACAACCTCTTTAGATGTTATCCGTTGCACCTGACAGTTGGCCTGGTTAATAAAGTAAGATTTATCTTAAAGACGTGTCTTTGTGCAATAAGTGTCAGCTATGAGTATTAAATGCAAGCCATGCTAAAACTACATTCTCTTTTAAATCATTAAATGCGGATGAGGGCGCATTTAATGTGGTGAAGATAACCACGCCGACGTTTGGTATTTTCAACAGAGGGAAACGTCGATTGGTTTTTACGAAGCACGCATGTCACTTTTCACGAGGATTGGCAACACGTGGTTGCATCCAATGGTTGGGATCGCCCCCCACCCAAACGTCGCTTGCGAAGGAAACCAAGCGTCGCCTTTTTCCCTATAAAACCCTAAGCTTACCTCAAAACTTTCACAGAGTTTGAATCTTTAGAGAGAAGAACATAGTTTCTGCACTCAAGAAACAAGTTCATCCGTCTTCCAATTGATACGCACTCGTTGTTACGATAGAGCGCTCGTTCCTAGCAACTAGGAGGTAAGGAAAACTCTTCTCTTTCTTCCTTTCATTCCTGTTAAAAGCTTGGTTCTTTCACAACAATGGTGAGTTTGAATGCCTGGTAAACTTATTTGATGCACATTCTAGGGTGGTGTTAAAAAAGGAAACACCCTCAAGAATGGAAAACCTAGGGCATAGATCCTTGGGAACTAGTTCTCAAGGACGTTTAGGGTTTTTAGGAGTTAAGGGGGGAAAATTAGGGTTTTTCTTACTCTTTTAAGTCGTCGTACAACACACTGTATGGAGACTGAGTCACCTCTACGTGTCACACCTTTTCAGACTTTAGGAGCGATGGATGCTTTGGATATGCAAGCAATCGAAGAACCAGTTTGCAGCCCCCGAGCACCTCGACGGGCCCCAC